TGGCTAAAAAGGCCCGGGAAGTTCTTATCCTCTCTCTGCCTCTCCTTAGCATCCTTTTATTCAAACGCAAACCTTCCCTTACTGCCCAGAGGAAAACTTCCACTTCTGCTGCTGTGGAGCGCAGGGGTGTCTCTTCCCCCACCCGCCCCCATCCTTCTCCACCACCTTCCTCTACTAAAGCTCCTCTTGATGCCACTCCAGGGCCAGCTCCCCTGCGCTGCATGCACCTAGGGGCAGCAGCAGGGTCATTTCTAGGCCTCCCTGCTTAGGGGTGAGGGACAATTGTCTGGCAGGGTGTTCCTAGGAGGGCTTCCCCCACTTCCCGTACATCCCCTTTCTCTAGGGAATTTTCCAACGTATTCATAAAATGGTCACTCGTGCTAGGTCCAGGGCCTGGGCCTCGGCTGCATCCTGGGTCAGGGCAGCCTGGGAAGACCCTAAGGGCTTCCTTGCTCTTTCTTTGGGGGCTGTGCGAGCAGCAACAAGCAGCAGCCGACCACCCACCCCACCACAGCTCCGCGGGTGCCAGGCACAAGGCCCCTTTGGGTGAGGTATCGTGGGTCACACGCTCCCAGCCCAGTGAAGCGCACAGTTATACGCTGTTCTCTGTTCCAAATCATGCCCAGACTCCTGTCTGGTCCTCAGGCCTAGGAGAGAGAGGTGGACACCTGGCTCCAGAGTGAGACCGTCTAGTTCTGAACTCCAGCTCCGTGACATCCTAGCAGCGTGTCCTATGGCAAGTTACTTAACCTTTCTGTTCTATTTCCTCATGGGTTAAGTCAGAGGAACATTAGTACCTACTTAGTAGGGTGGTTGAGAAAGACAAATGAGTTGGCTTTTATATGTGAAAGGCTCAGAAGAACACCTGGAACCTACTTAGCATGCAAAACGTGTTATTGCCGTTCTTTCCCCTTTTACCTTTTAACCGTAAGAAACAGAAACCCCACTCGTTGCCCCAGGTAAGCGGGGGGTGGATCGTAAGGCCTCCCAGTGAGGACAGGCACTGGGTGGCTCTCTTTGGGGACCTGATGGCTTCGCTTTCCAAGGCATTTGCCTCCCTTTGGCCACCAGCTTTCTCGTCATGCTCACAGTGTCTTGTGGCTTGTGACTTCGGCCTCCATGCGGTCCATAAGGGCCACCTCTCTGCCTCCGACCTCCTCACCATCGTGGCCTCTCATCTTCTGCTCCTCCTGCTAACAAGCCCATCATTTTGATACTTCCTGGTCCAACTTCCTAATAAAGGTCACCTATTGGCCCAGCTTACCAAGGGCCACAGTTATTAACCAATCTCCCATCAAATGCATTTGGGTCAGCTGCCATCCCTGGTTGGGGCCAGGGGATGGGGTAACAAAATACCAAACATGCCTGCCAAGGCCACGGGGGCAGCTGGCTATTCCCTTCAGAAAGCAGGGTGAGCGCGGCAGGGGTGGTTGACATCTTCCACGTGTGTTTCTGCAGCCTTCGGTGAAGGCACCAAGTGAACCCTCAGAGCTGGAAGAAATAGTCAGGATCAACTTTCCCAGCTCCCTCCTTTTGCAGCTGAGGAAACTGAGACCCAGCCTGGGGAAGGGATTTGCTCCAAATCTGGTAGCTGGTGAATGGTGGAATCCCAATTCAAGCTTATTCCGCAAGGTTCCTTTGGCTCAGCTGTGCGTCGGATGCCCGACAACCTGCTCTTCCTCTCCACAGAAACTCTTTAGTGAGTGGAGGCCACCAGGGACCAACACAGCACATTTGCGGAGTGCTTGCATGGCCTGGACATGTTACGTAGATCATCCTTTCCATACCTCGAATGACCCTGTGGAGCAGAGCCTCTTCTTAGCCCCGCGTTCCTGAGGGAATGGAGGCTCCAGGAGGTTTCGTCACTTGCCAGTGTCAAGCAGCTGATACAGTCAGCGCTGGGATCCACACTCAAGCCTGTCTGAACCCAGAGCCTTTGCACTTACACCCATGACTAAAGCTCATCAAAATCATTCAGGCAGTCAGTGTGGAGCATGGGAGTGGTGCACGCTAGGGCTGGGTGTGGGGAGAGTGACTGGGTTCCAGGCAGCATGGACCAGGGGCCGGGAAAGCCAGAGGTCCTGGGTCCTGGGACATGGGACAAGCGCTGGATCTTCTCTGTTCTTCAGCTTCTCATCTGTAAAACGAACACCCCATCTCACATAAACCGATGTGTTCTTTGGAGAGTAGGAATAGAAAAATGAGAAAATAGAAAGCGTTCTCGAAAATAGTAAAGACAAATGTGGTGCTAATGCAAGGACTCAATAATAATTACTCTCCTCAGTGTTAGAGTTTAAAAGAAATCATGGAATAGCAGAGCTATCGTAGGTTCCTGGAGGAAGTTGAGATAGACTTTACTGCTCAGATGGTTGTCAGGCAACCTCGCCCTACAACTAGGCACTTGGGGGACACAGAGTCCTGGCTGACCTGAAAGGGCTAAACCAGAGGGTGGTTCTTGTGTTTTGTCTTGCAGGCAGGGTAGCAGAAAGGACAGGTTTGGGCTCTGGAAGCAGAGGGGTTATGGAATACTGGACTTAAATTTCCTGAGCTTCAGTGTCCTCATTTGTTAACTAAGGTAGGGATGCTAACATATCTGCCTCCGCAGGCTGTTGTAAGGAGTCAGTGAAGCAAGTCATATGAAGTGCTTTGCCCCGTGTCTGACATACAATATGCACTTGATGAATATTAACTTTATTATTGTTAAGTCAACCTAGACAACCATGGACAAGGGCAAATTGTAGTGCATTTGCATGAGCATTTTTTCCTAGTGTATCAGTTAGCTATTGCTGCATAACCACCCTAAAACTGAGTGAAAACCATCACCATTTATTATTTCTCGTGGGTCTATATGACGAAGACAGCCCCCACAATCTCCCTTAACTATTCTTTCCTGATGCAAAGTCTTGGTGGGGTTGACACCACCCTTGGGACCAGGGGTTGCTCAGGCCATTTGTCCATTCCATCACCTTGGCCTGCTTCTGGGTTGGACCCGTGGCTAGTTCTGGTCAGTGAGAATCAGACCCAAGACTTATTCTACTGAAGCTGAGGAGATGCAGGTAGTGGAAGCTTCTGCAGTCATTGAGCAACGATGAGATATTGGACAGGCTGTCTGAGCATAAACTGAAGCCACAGGAGTGGGCAGAGCCAACCTGAGAGGAGAGAACTGCACCCTGGAGACAAGGCTCATGTGCTCATATTATCCTGGTTTGAAGCCAGTCCTAGCCAGAAGTTCCCAGTTATGTGAGCTGATAAATTCTCTTTTGTTTAGGGCTGTATGGGTTGAATAGTCCATCATATGCAAACAAAAAATGTCCTAAACAGATGTGTGAAGGAAATGGACAATCCAGCAATGAACTGTGCTTTGTGGCTGGCAAAACAGTCAAGGGGCTAAAATTTGCCCTTTGTGCCTCTGTGGGTTAGAGACACTGTTCTACTGTTGAGTCAAAGTTGATTTCATGATTCTAGAATTACCATTTTGTACAATTTGACTATAAACAGCTTGAGGGTAGGAACCGGGTCTCATCCATCTTCCCTAGCAGCCAGCCTGGGGCAAGGTGTACAAAAAGGTACCTCATGCATACTTATTGTATGAATGAAAAGCTTCTGATTTGGGGCCTTCAAATAAGTGCTGTTGCTATGAGCAAGTAAACAGATTAGGGAACACACAACATTTAGCCTCTTAGGAGGTTTCTGCTGTGGTTTGAAGGTACCCCCCAAGTTTATGGATTGGAAATTTAGTCCCAAGGCAGCAGTGTTGGAGGGAGGGCCTAACAGGAGGTGATTGGGTCATGAAGGCAGAGCCGTCATGAATGGATTAATGTCATTATTGTGGGAGTGGGTTAGTTATTGTGAGTTCAGGTTGTTACAAAAGGGAGTCTGCCCTTGTGTTATCTCTCTTGCTCTTCCACCTGCCACTATGTGACAACCCTAGCCAAATGCTGGTGCTATGCTCTTGGACTTCCCGGCCTCCAGAACTGTGAGCCAAATAAACTTATTTTCTTCATAAATTACTCAGTCTATGTTATTCTGTTATAGCAACAGAAAATGGACTAAGATAGTTGCATAACAGAGGAGTCTGGAATAACAAGAGACCACCACTGAACGATGAGTGACTTTCGTGGGAATGACAGAGTGGCTGAGGCTGGCAAAACACCTTGTTCTTTTCTGCAAAGAGGTCCTTGCATGAAGACCCACCAGAGAGTTCATCAGAAAGGACAGGCCCTGGAGTCTTTCATGACAACAGCAGGCAGCAATCTACTTTAATTTAGAGATCCCACCTCAAATCCTGGTGGAATGAGCATAAACAATGAGAAGGAGTATGATAAACTTGTAAAGAGCATGGCTTTGCAGTCAGACAGGCTGGATTCAAATTCTGGCTCCTCCATTTCCTGGCCTAACCTTGGGCAAGCTGCTTAACCTCTCAGAGCCTCAGTTTCCTCATTTGTAGGATGGAGTATGATAAGGTACTTACCTTCAATGGATATATTGAGAATTTGATGAGAAAATGTGGGTAAAGGATTTAATCTAGTGCCTGGGACAGAAAAAAATTCACACACATGCGCGCGCACACGCGCGCGCACACACAGAAGTAAAAACAAAAATCCAAGAGGCTGTATCAGAGTTGTATGGATGACAAACACTAAAATGTTGCATGTGCCTTGACATATCGGTATTTTGTGGCCTCTGATGATTTGTCTTAAACTTTTGAAGACACTTCCTGCACACGAAAGCTCTGCTCCCAACTTGGTTTTGCTTTGACATTTCCAGTCTGTTTTCCCAGCAGTCATCCTGCAGTCATTAATACCTTCTTCGATTAGCTCTACAGTTGAAGCAGTTCTCCTCATAACCTTGACCTTCACTTTATTGGAGCTGAGCTACAGGACAGTTCAGAGCTGGTTACTGCGGGAAGCATGCAGTGTGGCCTGGGGGGTAGGAACGCCCCCTGGGACCTCTCCACCCCCGATGTGCCACCTCACCCTTTCAAAAACCACTGGAGCATGTTTGAGAAAAGGTAAGCTGTTTTATTTCACAGGATAGCTCCACGTCAAACCAGCAGGCACCATCAGAATACGCAACAGAGGATCCGGTCAGACACTCTATAGGACGGGCGTTTGGTCGTAAGGTAGAGAAATGATATCCGGAAGAGGGCAACACTTATCATCACATGGGGACAGGCAACCAGCAATTTCCTAGGGTGGTTTTGGTTTGTTTTTCCTGTCACAATTTGGGGAGGAAAGAAACCAAAGGAAACAAAATAGACCAGCCACTCTGAAGCAATCAGAATCAAACCTATTGCCAAACCATGTAAACAGTCACACTGCCGGGAACTAGGGCCTGAGCAGAAACTCTAGCCAGGATCTACTTCCGTCCAAGGAAGGAAAGTGCACTCGGGTTGTTCTGGTTCAAGGAACAGCTTTGTTATTTGCCTGGGACAGTTCACACAGAAAGGAGGTGTCAGTGAGGGGCAGCGATGGCCATTTGGCCAGTCCCAGAGGATGGGACAGTGGGACACTGGCAGATCAACCTCAGAGAGGCCAGGAGGACTGAGACCCGACAGCAAAGTCCCTTCTCTCAGCTCCCCTGGGCAGCTGTGGGTGTGTGGGGAATTCTCTACGTGGCTGCTCGGAAGAGAGGAGACCCCAGAGAACCAGGGAAGTTGACATGAAACATCACCGTCAGCTCTGCATAGCAGAAATCAGCGAGGCGACGCCTCGGCTCACCCCTTCCTGACGTTTCCGCCCTGCCACCCCGCCCCCGCCCCTCAGCCCAACAGGGCCCAGCACCGTGGCTGTGAGCCAGCCGTTCCTCTTCCTGCGTTTCTCAGGAGAATGAGGCATTTGCTCTAATGTGGAACCATCTGGATGTGTGAAAAGTTAGGAATAGAAAGACTGAGAGGAAGAACCCTCACATTAGTCCTCGTGGTTTTCCATTAGCCGCGTCCGCGCGCTGAGCGCCCAGTAACGACCAGGTCACAGGCAGTCCTCCGCATTCACGCCTCCTGAATGAGAAAGAAATACACCCAACAAGGCACTCCAAGGGGCTCCGACAGAGAAGAAAGCCACACAGAAAGGCCCTTTCCCATACTGGCTCCCCTTCGTGTACCACAAACCAGTTTTAAGTGTTTATAAGGCAGATCTCTGAACTGCTGGTTCCAGCCGATAGCCAAAGGATAGCTCGATTTCCCTGTGTCTCTTCCCACTCCGATTTCTTCATTGAATAGAAATCTTTATCCCTTGGGAATCCATTTCTCTCCTGACCCCTGGCCTGGTGACTTCAGAGAACAGACTCCCAAGTCTGATTCCCAAGCCCACAATTCCGTCCAATTGTGTGCACTCTGTCCGGGGTTCAAAAGGCGCTTCAAGGTGAGAAATCGTTAGCACTGAAAACAAGGAAAGGCAAGAATTTTTCATAGAATCCCACAGCTCAGAGCAGCTCTTTAAGAGGAAAAGGGAATGGGGGGGAGTAGGATAGGAAGCACAGCTTGTTCTCAATTTTATCCAAGAAAGGTCTTTAGCGGCAGCTGGGCCACAGGCCCAGGAAACTAGACCAGGAATTAATTGTCTTTGGTCAGTTTTAAGTGAACATCTTGCTGGTTCATTCCTAAAATAGACTGAACATGGGTTATACATAAGGACAAAAGGCTCAACCTCAGGATAAGTCAAAGGTTAAGAAAAGAAATCATTCCGTGAAGCAAAAAAAATGCCCGTTATCAACTAACTGATCAGTACAGCTTTCAATAATGATGATGAACAAGTAGGTAAACACCACTTTCCCTTGTACAATTGGTTATATTGAGGACTACTAACTAGGTTACTACATTTCCCCCACACTCACTGTACAGTTAGGTTTCTGGTATTTGTTTTTACATTGATCTATCTACTAGGTGCAAAGATTTGGTGAGTGGCATTGGCTATAATTTAATTGTAGCCTTTTGAAAAATTACAGTTTCACATTTTAACAGTTACTTTCCAGCATTTAAGCAAATACAGCAATATATAGTGGACTAAAACAGGCAAGAGTCAGGAAGAGAATGCCAATGCTCCGTGAACATTGATGGGACCGAGTGATGTGCAGGGTAACTGAGGCATGCATAGAGCCAGATGAGGAAGTGGGAGCGGGAGATGTGGAAAGGTATTTTTCCGTTTGGTTCTGTGTCAAGCCTCAGAGTTGGGGCTATCAGATGAGCGGGGATATGTCTGCTATCTGCGTATGTGTGTCCCTAAATGTGAACTCAGCCATTTCCCGATGGAAGAAATAGTTGGTTAAAGATAACAGCTAAGCCTCTGCCTTCAGGGAATTCAGTGAAAGGCAGGTCCATTTTCAGCAAGGAAAATGGAATCAGTCAATTAGGAGAAAAATCCACACGGTCTGACTGGTGTTATGTATATCAGGCAAGAGATTCGTCTACTCAGTTGTCGCTTTTCATCTGGTAGTCATGGCAGAGAATGTGACATTTTGCCTGGGAGTCTGTTGGATGTAAGTAAGGTCTGGGAATGGCTCTGGGGTAGAAATGGAAAGTCTTGTAGCATGGCTGGACAGCATTATCATCCTTGCAAATGAAGGACTTCACAAGCCTGAGCAGCCTCCACTCTCAGCGGGCAGGTCATAGCACAGCCCAAGCTGTGGAACAGGGATGTCTTTACGTGCTCAAGGGCAGAGGGCCTTTCATATCCAGGCGCTAAAAGAGAAGGGGTGGTTCTAAGCAAAACAAGGGAGGTCAAGTTTGTCACTGGCCTCTCCCTGACATTCCCTTTTTGTGCCCTTTCTTGATTCTTCCTTCCACTGTGTGGTCTCAAGTCCAGTCCTTCAGACAAGGTGGGATGGCTTTCCATTTGCACGCCCAGTTATCAGTGACCTACTCTGGGTGTATTTACCTTTTTGTGGAGGACCAGAGGAGAGGGCAAAACTTAATCCAATGGGTGGAAATGCTAATGATGGAATTCAGGGCTCCTAGTAAGCTGGTAGGAAAATTCCACTGCCCTCTTCTCAAATGCCATTAGGAGGTTTCAAAAAGGTTTGGATGGTGTTTGATCTAAAAGACTTACTATACTAGTGATAATCACAAGAGCAAATGAATTGGTACAATGCTTTCCAGGCTACACAGCCTGCTCACTTCCGTTTGATCTTTATTATCCTCATTTGATAGAGCAGAAAAGTGAAGCTCCGTGAAGTGGAACGACCTGCCTAAAGTCCCCCGGCTCCTAAGTGGTGGAGGCTGGAACTCCAACTCTGCACTTTTGACTCCAAACCTCAGTGGCCTTGAGAGACAGGGACAGAGATGAAACTTGGGGACAACAGGGAGGGGAGCCTGGGCCTGGCATGAAGTGGGGTGGTAAAAGTGAAAACTGTCCCCATTAAGGTCAGATTCACCTGTGTGCTATTATCCAGAAACAGCCCCACTCTATAAACAAAGGGATCAAAGGAGGAGGTGAAATGGAATCGAATGAGGGTGACCCAGAAGGCCTTTCCCCAGCCAAGAGGCAAAGCCCAGCTAGTTATCCTTGAAGATCATGCACCCGGTCTCTGTCACCATGTTCTCATCTACTTTAAATGCTCTGGAGGGAGTGGGGGAAGGGGACGGAAAGGGAGGGAAATGAGGAAAGCTATTTCACTTGTACGAACTGAACCATCAGTGTTCTCTAGGACAGAGAGCTCCAGGGGTAATTCCCTCCTCGGCCCCTGGTCTGAGCTGGGCACTTACGGCTCATGCGCTTCATGCAAGAGGGCGCCAGCCAGAGTGCATCACAGCCCGATTTTAAATGAAAACGATGTGACTGAAAGCCTCCTTGCCTGTTTAGTTCCAAATCTGACACAATATAATTAGTAGAATGAGGAAAAGAAAAATTTAAATATTTTGAAAATGATATAAGTTAAATCTCTATAGTTACCACAGATTTATTCCTACAGCGTTTTCTAGGTTTTGAAGTATTCCACACCACTGTATTTTTTTTCCCTTTTTCCCAACCACATGTCATACTGTGCTACGACGGGGCTTAGGTTTTCACTATCCCGCTTCTACACACAAACACGAGGATGCGGTGGTCAGGAGTCTTCTCGCCAACTTTCTCCCGTGCCTTCGGGGGTCTGGTTGGCCTTTGGCCTCCGGGCGGAAGGGCAGGGTCTCTGGGCTGGGTGGGGGAGGGGGCTGTTTTCTATGAAGGGTCCCCACCTCTAGGAGCAGCCTGCTTGGGGTACCGCCTGCCCCACCCTTCCTTGAGGGGCAGACTGTTCTGGAAGGCCACGACTTCTGGAGACAGTGGGAGACTGTTTTTGTTTTTCTGCAGGTTAGTGGTATATTGCTTCATTCGCAGTTACTATGGGCCTCTAAATTCTCCCAGAAAAGTCCCTGCAAATCCCACCAAATAACTCAGTGGGAGATGTTTGGTGGCATGGGTCTGAGGTAAATCTAAGTTTCATAAAAAGAAAAAGGAGATACTATATACATTTAGAATGTGTGTGTCCAGATCTAGTATATGTATATAGATGCATAAATATATATATACACACACACCTACAGACACATACATACATATATATGTGTATATACGCACATATATACACACACATATAGGTATGCAGAGGATGTCGAGAGAGTAATTCCAGTGACGATATGTGGAGAAGCCACGTAGCATTTTGCCTGGATCTTGGGGAACACTGTGGTTGGGGCTGCTCTTGCTCCGGCCCTCCTTGGGGTGTCTTCACACGCCAGAGGGCTGTGGGATTCCCATGGCTGAACGTGAGCTGCGGCAGGAGCCCGGCCCCCAGCTCCGCGCCGACCCTCGGCTCTCCCGGGCGGACCTCTGCCCCACAAGGCCGGGGTCACCAGGAAGGCCGCGGAAGCCGCCCGGCCGCCCTGGGCCGTGGCGAGCCACGGCGGGCCACGGCGGTGCGGCGCATCCTGCAGGTCACATGGTGCCCGACTTGTCCGCGGAGCTGTTGGGGAACATCTTCTCGGTGGGCGTCACGGCCGGGCTGCCCACGCCTGAGCTGCTGCTGCTGCTGGACCGATGCTGGACCACGGGCCGCACGGGCCGCATGGGCGGCGGGCGCAGCTGGGCGCCGGCCAGGCGGGCCGACAGGGCTGGCTTGAAGGTGGTCATCATCTCGGTGGACGAGCTGCTGCTGCGGCGCAGGGCGGCGTCGGGGTCGCGGATGACGATGGTGTGCAGGGGGCTGGCGGGCTCTGAGCTGATGGGGCCCGGCGGGTTCTTCAGGGGCTCCAGGGTGTCCAGCACCACGTCTGGCGCCTGCTTGACCGTGTTCTGCCTCTCGAGTTCCCGCAGCTCGTGCAGAGCCGTGCTCATGGTCTTCTCGATGTCCTGGGGACAGAGAGCGCCTGGTCATTGGAGTCCGATCCTTCCTGTCTGCAAACCAGCTTGCGGGCCCTCTGGGGGAGATACCCCAGGAACGTCACGGGATGGAGATTAAGTCCCCGCGTGTCTAATAACCACAAGAGAGAATCAGTGTGGGCGTCCCCTGCACTCCGCCCTGCACAGGAAACAGACTTAATAAGGGCAGGGCAGACTACCAGTTAAGAGGGCAGGAACTGGAGTCAGACAGACACGGGTTCAAATCCTGCCTCTGCCATTTCCTTGCTATGTGACCTTAGGCAAGTTACCTCACCTCTCTGAGCCTCCAGAATCCTCATTTTTAAATTACAGGTGATTATAATATGGACTTCTGGGGGTTGATGCGTGTATTCAATAATATGGTCCCTGTGAAGAGCTTGACATGACACCTGACACAGAATAAGCACTCAAAAATAATGACGACAACAATAGCTAACACTGAGCACCAATCCAAACCCTTTCCACTAATAATTTATTTAATCCTCACACTTACAAGGTAGCAACTACCATCATGCTCACATCACATAGGAGGAAGTTGAAGCTCAGACTGGTTAAGAAATTTGCCTAAGGCCACACAGCTAATTAGTAGCATATTAGGCAGTTCAGTATTATTATTTTTTTAAAAAACACTTGTCCACAGAAAAATTACTTGGAAGTTATATACCTGAATGTTCACAATGTCTATCCCAGAATAGTGAGACTGCTACTCTCTTCTCTGTATTATAATTTAAAATTTTTAAAAATGTAAATTTTAAAAAGAAAAAATCTTAAAGTCTGCTTATTTAATTTCCAAGGTTGTTACAATATTTGAAAGCTCATCAGTAAGAGAGCTGCAAAGGACCCAGAGGGAGAGATGACACCCCCAGGCCAGCCTGGGCTCACCATGCCACTGGGCAGCTTTCCAAGCCCCTGTGCCCTCAAGCCAGAGGTGACACTGGAGCTGGAAGGCAGCATTTAACTCAGGAGCCCTCGGACAGGGCCCAGGGCCCCGGACTTTTGAGTGAAAAGACTCCACGGCCGCTTCCTGGCCCTGCAACCTTGGGAAGTCACTCGGCACCGCACCTTGTTCATCTGTTAAAAGCCCACACGTTTACTGTGAAGAAGGACTGAGATGATGGATGTGATGAAGCTTTGTGAACTGCCAGATGGTGGTTTCCAAACTCCTCCTAGCCCAAGAGTCCTTGGTCCCCACGACTGTTTACAGGGATGCCTCCACATCCAACAGATGCAAGAGGACCTGCTCAGGCCAAGCCAGGCCAGAGCCCAGCTGGCCTGGCCATGGAGGGCACAGGGAGGGATACTGCTTAAAATCACCACTGGCAGGTGCTGGGCACAGCCTCACGGAGCAATGACGACTAGTAAGACAGGCTTGCTTTTCCACCAATCCTGGAAAAAACGTGAGTCTGGTGACATGGACGGGAGGGGAGCCTGGAGGTGCTGTGGCCAGCCTCTTTCCCATCTCCCCCATCTTCTACACTCTCCTGCCCTGTCTGCAGGTGGCCTCAGCCTGCCCTGGGCCCCATGGCAGGCTCCAATCTGGCCAGGGTCAAGGTCCCAATCTCTTGCTCCCCTGCTGTCCCAGCCTACCCTTTTTGCTTTGTTAAGGGACTATCGACATCCCACTCACGGCTAATATTACCTTTTATGCTTCCCTAGGGCAATTTACTCTTTGCCCAAGAACACTAGAAACTTTAAGAATGGGCCTTTTGTGCTTTATCCAAAAGGATTTGGTGTGGGGGCTTTTCTGCAGGAAGGGAGAGATGGCAGTCGCTCTCCCTGGCTTTGCCACACCTCAGCCCTGCGGTGACACAGCCTGCTTTCCACGAGCTGCCCTGTCATCACCCACTCTGCTTGAACTCAGTCCCCGATTGACCTCACGACTCTCTCTGTTTGCAGTTCAGCATGAGCTGCGAGGTGAAACTTGAATAAATAAAATTACCACCCCTCCCCCACAAGCCCCCACCCTACCACCACTCTACCCTGGCAGAGCAGGAGCGGAAAGACAGAAAGCTCAGAGAAAGATCAGCTGAGTGGTTTAGGCTGGAGCCTCG